TAGGAACAAGAAAAGATAATATTTTGGACAAGTGCTTTGTGAACGTCAAGAATGCCTATGTATCTAAATGTAGACCACCAATCCTGAATTCTGATCACAATGTGATGTACATGATTCCAGTATACAAAACAAAGTTAAAACGGGGAAAATTGGAAAAGAAAGTAATCAGAGTATGGTAAGATGAAAGCAGAGAGAACTTAAGAGCTTGTTTTGATTGTACAAACTGGGAAATTTTCCATGATGGAACATTAGATGAAAGAACTAAAGTAATCAATGACTATATTAACTTTTGTGTTGCAACTGGTAATACCCACAAAGAATATTAAAGTATATCCAAACAATAAATCTTATGTCACCAAGGATATTAAGGAAATTATAAATAGATGGAATGTAGCATTTAGAAATAAAGATCCTAAATAACTGAAAGAGACTGAAAAATAATTAAAAAGTAAAATGAGGAAAGCTAAAGAAGCTCAGAGTGCTTAGAAGCAGCCTTTAAAACCAAAAACAGTAAGAAAGTTTGGGATACCATGAAAAAGATGACAGGTTTATCCTCTCCAAACAAATGTATTGTAACAGACAATGAAGTCAGCTTTGCTAATGAACTAAATACATTTTTTACAAGATTTGAACCCACAAGCAACAATGAACCAGTTAACATCGTATCGTCTTCCTCCCAAAAGATAGTGATCGATGTTGCAGAAGTTAGGAAGACATTTCGGTCTGTTAATACTAGAAAAGCTGTTGGTCCGGATGGGTGTGCGCCGAACTTCATTAAGAGCTTTGCTTGTGAGTTAGCTCCAGTGTGGCAACCAATCTTTCAAGCTTCCATTGACTTACATATGGTTCCGACAATATGGAAAACCTCAATCATAAAACTGATACCAAAAACACTCTGTCCAAAGGAATGTAAAGATTATAGACCCATAGCCCTCACTTCAGTAATTGGCAAAAGTTTAGAAAGAATACTACATAAACACTTGTTTAATAATGTCAAAGGGAAGCTTGATCAGTGTCAGTTTGCATATAAACAAGGTAGCAGTACCGAGGATGCAGTGGCTGCCTTAGTGCACATTGTTACTAAACATCTAGACAAATGCAACTCTTATGTTAGATCATTATTTCTTGACTTTTCATCTGCGTTTGATACTATTCAAGTTAACACCCTTGTGTCTAAACTAATACAGTTAGACGTGAACCCATACTTAATTAAATGGTACCTCTCTTTTCTCACCAATAGAACCCAAAGGGTTAAAGTGAACAATGTCCTGTCAACAGAAGTAAAAACAAATGTTGGTGTACCTCAGGGGTGTGTAAGCTCTGCTATGTTATTTACTCCGTATACAGATGACTGTCGAGTAAACAGGAATGACCAATATATTTTAAAGTACTCCGATGATACTGTGTTAATATCATTATTGAATAACCAAGAGTGCTTAGAACAGCATCAACAGGGGGTAAACAAATTGGTCGAATGGTGTGACAACAATGCCCTCAGTATTAATTAAAAAAAAACTGAGGAGATAGTATTAGGGCCTGTTGCTGACATTCATACAACACCTGTTGTTATACATGAAGAGAACATCAAACAAGTAGAAGCATATAGGTACTTAGGAGTATGGATAGACAAAACACTATCATGGAGAGATCACATAGATAGTATCTGTAAAAAATCAATGCAAAGAATTTACTTTCTCCGTAGACTGAGGTCATTTGGAGCAAGAAAGCAGATTCTTTTATTGTTTTTTTATGTCTGTAATCATGAGTGTCTTGCAGTACTGTAATTCGGTTTGGTATATGAGTCTATCTGTTAGTCTAAAAACAAAGCTAATGAACTTACTAAAAATGTGCTCCAAAATTGTGGGTCAGCCACTTCAAAAAGCATATGAACTATCTTACCATAATAATCTTGTAAGATTAGCTAATAACATTGTTTCTGAACCTAATCACGTGTTGTATAATGCATTTGTATTGTTGCCATCTAATCGACGATATAAGGTCCCAAGATACAGCCAAATTAAGTTAAAGAATTAATTTGTACATCAAGCTGTATTAGCGCTGAATAACTCATATAAAAAGTAAATGTCCTTTTTTTTTTTTAATATGTATGTGTGTGAAAGCTCTGCATTGTGTGTTGTTTATGTGATAAAGTATTGAAACCTTGAGTGAACCTGCTGTAACGCAAGACAAATTTCAGACTTAGTCTGACAATAAAGTGTATCGTATCGTATCGTATCTACAAGGTGAAGGTGCGGCCATATTACCAAAATTTCAGCAAATATTTGCGTGCAGAAAAGGTCCATAGTCTATTGTCAATAGTGTAGTGATGTATGAAGCACAGCTCATATAGAAGTTACTTTCAAACCAAGCAGCTTTCTGTTCGTCAATGCAGCGAATTTGCGTGATCAGCTTGAGTATAATCAAAATCTGTGCGCTGAAACTCCCAGTTGTGCGGATTTCTGTTGCTATGACTGGATTTTGCCCGCAAAACTTCAACGAGCAACAGTAAATGTGACCGCACCTTTAGGTTTATATATATGCATCCAACTGCCATTAATTCCTCTGCTGTAATTCTGTGAATTCCAGGCCCAAGCCAGATTCAATGAGTCCAGTCAGAAGCTGGATTTGTTGAAGTATTCGCTGGAGCAGAGACTCAGTGAGCTTCCGAAGAACCACCCCAAGAGCAGTCTGATCATGGAGGAGTTATCGCTCATGTCCTCTCCGGCCCTCAGTCCCCGTCAGAGTTTCATATCCACACTGAACCACAACAGCACTGTTAAAAACCAGTACAGCACCAAACCAGCTGCGCTCACAGGTGACCAACACATATTACCTTCAGATTTTCCTTAATGTGTTATTTAAGTGTTATATGAAGCTGTAAACTGGGGTTAGTAAGATTTTTAAAAAAATAAATCAACATTCAGCATGAACACACTCAATTGATCAGAAGTGAGACTGAGAGTAAAGACATTTTAATCTTACAAAAGATTTCTATTTCAAATAAATACTGCTCATTTTTAACTTTCTGTTCATCAAAGAATCCTGAAATAAAATGTGTCCACTTTCCACAAAAATATTAAGCAGTTCAACTGTTTCCAGCATGTGAGAAATGTTTCTTGAGCAGCAAATCGGCACATTAGAATGATTTCTGAAGATCACGTGACACTGAAGACTGGAGTAATTACATTTTAAAATGTGCTAAAATATAAACCATTATTTAAATTTTTTATAATATTTCACAATATTACTGTTTTACTGTATTTTTCAAATAAATGCAGGCTGCGTGAGCTTAACTGTCACCATCCCACCTGTGGGACGCTTGGCGCTCTTTTTTGTTGTTGTCCTTTTTCTCTATCAAATCTTTTAGTAATCATCATAAAGTATATATCATTTGAAAGCTTAGAAGCCCAAGGTTCATCCTCTGAAAACCATTTTGAAATCGGACATTGCATTACCATAGAAATAGTACTTTAAAATCTTTTGGCGGTCTCCTCCCCCTTAGTGGGCAGTGTCAAGTGTCATATTACAAAATGCATTACGGTTTTTTAGAAACAAAACCTTTTTATAATCTTGACAAAAAACATATCACTGGAAAGGTCTGAGTCTCATGATTCCATATTTGGTGGTTATTTTGAGATAGAAGTAATATTGACAGAGAAATCTAGACATTTGTGACAGACAAATGCATTACAATTTTTTTTATGGAGTTTGGATGGCACTCGGTGGCTGTTTGTGGTATGACGCCCTAAATAAAATGTCACAGGAACCTCCATTTTTTTCATATCAACTTCAAATTTGGAACATAACTTATTTAGACATAAGGCTTTCATTTTATACCAATTTTAGAGTAAAACCTGTTATGTAAAATATTTATAATAAATAAAATAAAATTTATATAGTGCATTTTATTTACAGTACATTTAAACTTCTATAACTTTTTGATACTTTAATTTTTTTAAACAATTTAACTTTTGCAATAATCTACTGATTTTCTTCTTTAAAAAGAGACCAACCTTATGTCTGTATTCCAAAGTGTTGATAAATTACAACAATTTAAGTTTGGATAGTGCACTTTCATGCCTATTTTAAAAAATGGGGGGGTGACAGTTAAGGGATTAAGAGGCTTCTTTCAAAAACATAAAAAAAATCGTACTGACCACAAACTTTTAAATGGCAGCATATTTTAATGGTGATTGTTATTGACTAAAACAGGCAAATTAGAGGTTCGGCTCATGGGATGTCAGGACCTGTTAGACAGTGTTCCTGGCCGGTCTAAAGCCACGTCGGTGCCGCTGCCCGGTTGGAGCCCCAGTGAAATGCGCTCCTCTTTCATGAGCCGTGGGAATCGCAGAGGAACCAGTGTTCGAAATCTCTCCAAAAATTATGACTTGTCCAGTTGAGTAGTTCTTAGTGCTTACTTTCAAGTGGCTTTTCACAAGCCTTTCATTAGACTTTGCAATTAAAAAGCAATGCTGTGGCGGTCAAGGAGCTTAATATGTGTACGTGTCTCTGTTTGTCTCCAGATGAGATTAGTGCTGTTCTGAAGCTTGACAACACTGTCGTTGGTCAGACCAGTTGGAAACCTGTCAGTAATCAGTCGTGGGACCAGAAGTTTACATTAGAGCTAGACCGGGTAAACTCACTGTACATGACGTTTATTTACACATACTGATGTTTATTTACACATAAAACATTCATAACGCTTCTGTTGTCTTGTTTCTATATGCTTTGGCAAATGTTTGTTTACCACAGTCTCGTGAGCTGGAGATCTCTGTGTATTGGAGAGATTGGCGGTCCCTTTGTGCGGTGAAATTCCTGCGACTGGAGGACTTCCTGGACAACCAGCGGCACGGAATGTGCCTTTACCTTGAGCCACAAGGGACTCTGTTTGCAGAGGTACCTTTACAATATTGTCTCTCAGCGATCAATAATTTTCCCTCAAAAAGCCCTCTGATAAGCCGCCCGGAGCTCTGTGAGAAAATCTAAGAAGAATTCCTCACGCTTGGTGGCCCCTGAAACCCCCGGGCAGGTTTTCCCACCTATGCTTTTCTAAAGAAACTGAGCCTAGTAGATCTGAAGTGGAATTTGATTAGTTTTCAGAGCTTGATCTAAAATCTATTTTTGTTACAGGTTACCTTTTTTAATCCAGTCATTGAGCGAAGAACCAAACTCCAGAGGCAGAAAAAGATCTTCTCAAAGCAACAAGGTGAGGGCATTTCTTCTACACAGTAGAGTATTATGAAGTTTTTGTAATTTGAGCCTTTAAAATGGTCATATTAGGGTTTCTTGAACAAAAAAAAAACTGTTCAAAAATAGCTTTGTAGAACCATTTGCCAGACCTGTAGAATTGTGGACTTTTTTTGGTGGTGCACATAAAAGGTTTGTATTTGAACATTCAAATGGCATGTAGTGTGTGCAGTATGCAGATTGTCTGTATTTATAGAATAACCAGATGACCTGCTGCATTTGCCAAAAAGAGTAGTATGCAACAGAGCTTTAATGTGCTGCGTACTGTATCCCACAGCACAATACACTCAATGTTTTATTTCCAGTGTGAGGGATGAACAATTTTCTTTATTATTTGATTGGACTTCCAAAAGTTAAAACACACAGAATTTGGTTAAATATGCAAAATAACTACTTTCTTACAAGATGATAACTGGGTGCCACACTGCCACTTACTGAAAGAAACTTTGCATGGGGATCACATTTTAAATTACTGTTCAAAAGTTTTTTTTTTTCCCCCTAGAAAAAAAGTCTCTTATGCTCACCAGAGCATTTGTTTGATCAAACATACAGCAAAAACAGAAATACTGTGAAATATAATTATAATACATTATTACAATTTAAAACTTTCTATTATAATATATTTTAAAATGTGATTTATTCCTGTGATGCAAAGCTGAATTTTCAGTAGCTGTTACTCCGGTCTTCAGTGTCACATGATCCTTCAGAAATCATATGAAATCAGTTATTATTATCACATTTGAAAACTTTTGTGCTGCTTAATATTTATGTGGAAACTGTAATACTTAATAATAAACGTAAAACTAAATTATTTTTTGAAAGGATTTTTTGATGAATAGAATATTTAAAATAACAGCATTTATTTGATTTAGAAATCTTGACATTATAAATATCTTAACATTATAAATACCTCTCTCTTAACATTATAAATATATTTACTGTCGCTTTTGATATATTTAATGCATCATTGCTGAATTAAAGTATTAATATTAAATCTTACTGATCCAAAAACTTTTGAACGGTAGTATATGCTGTTTTATTAAGTTAACTAGCTAACTAGTATTCTTTCATAAACATTGCTACAGGTTTGCGTTTGTGTCTAATACTGGGCAGGCTGTTTTTAATGTGTTTATTTTTGTGATGTCACAAAATCTTCAATTTCATAGCAAGCTGGGGAGAAAGCTACAGTATGTTTACATAGAAATTCAAACTGTTTATTTCAAAAAGAAAATGTTGATTTTTATGAGCAGTTTTTACAATTTAAATATTAAAACTGTCACAAAAAGCGAAAGATTTCCAACTATGTATGGGCCAATTATAAATAAAATCCCTTTTCATAATACAGGCATAATGCTTGTAATAAAGCAAAACCGTGATTTATTCCCACCTGTCAACAAACCTGGGCTTCAGTCCCAAACCTGCACCTGCACCTTCTGAAAGCTTTCCTTTATGAAACACCCTTTGGTTTAGTTTATATGTGACCCTGGACCACAAAACCAGTCTTAAGTGTCAATTTTTCAAAAAAGCTAAATAAATAAGCTTTCCATTGATGTATGGTTTGTTAGGATAGGACAATATTTGGCCGAGATATAACTATTTGAATATCTGGAATCTGAGGGTGCAAATCTAAATATTGAGAAAATCGCCTTTAAAGTTGTCCAAATGAAGTTCTTAGTTCTTATTTTTGGCATAAAAGAAAAATCTATAATTTTGACCCATACAATGTATTTTTGGCTATTGCTACAAATATACCCCAGTGACTTAAGACTGGTTTTGTGCTCCAGGGTCACATAGTATTGTCATTGTAGCTTCTTGTTTATATTACCCTGATCTCCAAGTAAAGAGATTTATAGGCATCTGATAAATGCGTTTCTTCTCATCTCCCATGTCTGCAGGGAAACCGTTCCTGCGGGCCCCTCAGATGAGCATCGGTACCTGGGGCCGGCTGGTAAGGAGGGCCATTCCCTCTCCCAATAACTCATTTAGTCCTCAAGTGGCAATGCTGGCAGCTGAGACTCTACACAGCAGTCACCCAGGAACCCCTGTTCTGAGGAGGTACACTATGAACATACAATACAATGAACACATTACTTTGTTAAACTACTCATTTTTTTGTCAAGGCAGTGCTTTCACGTGTCTGTTTGTGTTTGTCTGCCCTCTCTAGTGACCCAATAGTGACAAAACTGGACTTTGACAAAGATGCTACACCAAAGCATTACTCTCCTGTTAGTATAAGAGAAGTCCTGCCTGAGGACAAGATCCCCAACAAAGAGCAAGAACGGGTAACATCACACACTATAATGTGGTTGTCGTAGAGATAACATTGTGAGATAACTGCATTGATGTAATCTGTTTCCTTGAAAGCACAGTTAAAGACTTCTTTAAACATGCAATTCATGTTTAGGCTCTCATCTGCCCCCTTGCATTTGAAAGGAAAAGGAAATGCCTTCGCCGTTACCTTTATTAACATAAAGATAACAGTTATCCAGTGTCATCTTGTATAAACGGCGGCAACTGAAAGGATTGTTTTTCTTTTGCAGGACACTTTGACCTCATTTGACTACCGAAATGACAGGAATAGCATCATTGTTCAGTCTGACCTTGAAGAAACAGAAGAACATGAGACTCAGCCTTCAGCGTTACAGCTCATAACTGTCCAAAAGAACACAGAAATAAGGTGAACCATTTATAGTTTTTATGTATTTCTTGTACTAGCAAATATACACTCGACACTACTAAAGGACTTTTGTTGTTGTAGGGATGAAGAGGAGGAAGAACAGTTTCATTTCAGTCTTAAAGACTTTAAATGTGTTGCAGTGTTAGGCCGTGGACATTTTGGAAAGGTATGAGGCTATTTATGTTACAGTTTCCTTTTTTTAATTTAGTGGTAATAATTGCTAAGGCAATATTATTATTGGATATTTAGGTAACAATAAGGTCCCATTAGTTCATGTTAGTTAATGCATTAACTAACATTAAATAACCATGAGCAACACACTTGTTACAGCATTTATTGATCTTTGTTAATGTTAGTTAATAAAAATACAACTGTTCATTGTTAGTTCATGTTAGTGTATGTCCATTAAATAATATGAACAGATACAACTTCGGTAATGTATTAGTAAATGTTGCAATTAACATTAACTATGATTAATAATTGCTTTAGAAGGATTTTTCATTGTTAGTTTATGGTAACTAATGTAGTTAACTAATATCAACAAATGGAACCTTATTGTAAAATGTTACTGATATTTATTATGGCTGTTTTTGTGCTGAACATTTTCTTTTTACATTTAAACAACCTTTGACATCATCTTATTCTCATTTAAAGTTCACATTTAAAAACAAAAAATTTAACTACAAATAATCTCAAAATAACCACTTTTTTGCATTGAACATTATAAATATTTTGATGCCTTTATCTGTAGCATTTAAAATGATTGATTTTTACATTTTAGTGCTTTATTTAATTTGGACTTATTTATATGTAATATATATTTTATATATTATATCCTGAATGATAAAAATAAAATATATATTTATTTATTATTTTTATTTCATATAGATCATTTATTGGTTATTGTCCATTACATGAAAATCTGTTAGCATCTGACATTCCTACTTTTTTGCTATTAATTTATTTAGTAAGTGATCATACCTGTCAGATTTCTTTTCAGTGACAGATCATACAGCTGGCAAAAAAAGCTATATATTTACATTTGAGGGAGAGACTCAATGATATCTTTGGCAAGATATTGTAGAGACTTGAGGGTGGTCTTATATGACTGGTAAACAACCACCCAGAATGCCCTAACAACCATATAGCACTACATATACCTAGACCAGGGCCTAGACAAATACCCAAAATAGTGACACAAAAGACACTCACAGAATCTAAATGTCATTACATCTTTGTCACTTAACCTTTTCCTTCAGGTGTTATTAGCGGAATACAGTATTACAGGTGAAATGTTTGCCATCAAGGCCCTTAAGAAGGGAGATATTGTTGCCCGTGATGAGGTTGAAAGGTACATTTTTCTTCTCTGTTTTATATATGATAATTTGTGAGCAACACTTGTCAACTACTAGCTGTCTTATTTTATCCTGTCTTATTTTCTGTTTTGCCAGTTTGATGTGTGAGAAGAGGATATTTGAGACTGTGAACAGTGTGCGGCACCCATTCCTCGTCAATCTTTTTGCATGTTTCCAGACCAAGGAGCATGTGTGTTTTGTGATGGAGTACGCGGCGGGAGGAGACCTCATGATGCACATTCATGCCGATGTGTTTTCAGAACCGCGGGCCACGTGAGTGACACAAGTCATGCTTTTTAGATGATTGTAATCAAGCCTTTATCAGCATTGCAGGTTCTGTTGTTCTTGATTGTTGCAGGTTTTATGCAGCTTGTGTTGTCCTGGGGTTACAGTTTTTACACGAGCACGAGATTGTTTACAGGTATAAGAAAAAATGGTGGTGCTCTGTACTTAACTTGAAATTTTAACACAAATTTCATTGTTTTTCATTGTGTCAATTTGAGGATTACTACATGTATTCTTTAGAGATCTGAAGTTGGATAACTTACTGCTTGACACAGAGGGATTCGTCAAGATTGCTGATTTTGGTCTTTGTAAAGAAGGTAAGGATATGTTTGTTGTTGTGTTGTCCACTGTACAAGCACCAGAGGCAAATGTTCTACCTGTTTGTGTGTTAGGAATGGGTTACCAGGACAGGACGAGCACTTTCTGTGGCACTCCAGAATTTCTGGCTCCTGAGGTGTTAACCGAAACGTCCTACACGCGTGCGGTGGACTGGTGGGGGCTCGGCGTGCTCATCTTTGAGATGCTTGTCGGGGAGGTCAGACCTCCTCCACTTCGGTTTATTCATTTCTTCTTCATCATCTCTCTAAATAATCTACCGTTCAAAAGTTTGGGGTCTGTATGGTTTTTGTTTTTTATTTTTTTGTAAGTCTCTTATGCTCACCAAGGCTAATTTTTTTAATTAAAAATACAGTAAAAAGTTAAATATTTTGGCAATTTAAAACAATTGTTTTTTATTTTAATACATTTTAAAATGTAATTTATTCTTGTGAAGCAAAGCTGAATTTTCAGCAGTCATTACTCCAGTCTTCAGTGTCACGTGATCCTTCAGAAATCAGTCTAATACGCTGATTTGCTGCCCAATAAATTATTATCAATATTTTTGTGGAAACAGTGATACTTTTTTCTCAGGATTATTTGATGAATAGAAAGTTATAAAGAACAGCATTTAATTGAGGTAGAAATTAATTGTAAATGTCTTTACTGTCACTTTAGATTAATGTCCTTACTGAATGAATAAAAGTATTAATTTCTTAAAACAAACAAAAAAAAAATCTTGCTGACCTCAAACTTTTGAGTGTACCTCATAACCTGGATAAGAAGATAATCATATTCATACTCACATTTTAAAATATATTCAAATAGTAAACCGTAATTTAAAATGTTAATATTTCAGTGTTACTATTTTTACTGTATTTTTTGTTCAAATAAATGCAGCCTTGGTGAGCCCAAGTAATTTCTTTCAAAAATGTTACCAACCTCAAACTTTTGAACAGTAGTGTGTATGTGTGACAGGCAATCACATTACCTCAGTCATGACCTAGTTGTTCCTTACTGAAATTCCTCCTGTTTTTCCATATGTGGTCATGAGTCATGACAGACTGGAATCTATGCTAGACACCAAATATCAATATGAATATACTAATAACTAGTCTAGATGTTCAAAACTAGGCCTGAAGCTTCATATATGTAATAAGCAATCCAAGTGGAGGGGTAGATGCTAGTTTGAGGTCTGGTGAATTATATAGGCTACACTACATAAACACTATAAAGCTGGAAGCACTAATTTTCGACTAAAATATCCATGTTTTATCTAAATTGTGGGAAAACAAAGGACTGTACACAGGTTTTCTACTCACTACTACTCGTATGTCTGAGCATGATGCAGAAAAGTTTCAAAGGTACAATTGTGAAGTTTGACTTGACAATGGTGTAAATAACAGGTTTTGCTAAAACTGTCAGCCATCATGAATGCAAAAATTAAATGTTTATGTAAGTTGTGAGTCTTACATTTTGTAGACCTAATGAGGTTGAAAGTCGTTTATTGTCACTTCAAAAAAGATTCTCTGGTGTTTCATGAAATCTTTATAATAACAGATGTGAGTGCAGGAACGGAAACACACAAACAGAAACTTTCGCGTCATACCATTCCCCTCGTGAATTAAAAAAGAGGGAAATAAAACCATTTGTCAGCTACACGCTTTCAAAGCTCAAGGTAAGCTGTTTTGGGGATTTCCAAGACGTTCGCCATGCTTTTCTGAAAAGCATTTATTATTTAAGTTACTAAATATAATGCAAACAAGCTAATAAAATCATCTTCTACAAAAGAAAATGTTACAGTAAGAAATATGCCTAGTTGCAACCACCAAATTCTCACTTAGACATATAATTCATTACATTTATATAGCGCTTTTCTAAGTACTCAAAGCGCTTTACATGGTCATCCACCACCAGTGTGCAGCATCCACCTGGATGATGTGACGGCAGCCATAGTGCGCCAGAACGCCCACCACACACCAGCTTATTGGTGGAGAGGAGACAGAGTGATGAAGCCAATCAGTAGATTTGGGGATTGTTAGGAGGCCATGATGATCAGAGGCCAATGGGCAAATTTGGCCAGGATGCCGAGGTCACACCTCTACTCTTTTCGAAAGACATCCTGGGATTTTTAATGACCACAGAGAGTCAGGACCTCGGTTTAACGTCTCATCCGAAGGACGGTGCTTGTTGACAGTATAGTGTCCCCATCACTATACTGGGGCGTTAGGACCCACACAGACCACAGGGTGAGCACCCCCTGCTGCCTCACTAACACCTCTTCCAGCAGCAACCTAGTTTTCCCAGGAGGTCTCCCATCCAGGTACTGACCAGGCTCAGCCCTGCTTAGCTTCAGTGGGTAACCAGTCTTGGGCTACAGGGTGATATGGCTGCCTCTAATATGTACAATTTATATACACACAAATGAAAGTACAGCCTGCAATCAGTGATACATTTTGGAATGTCTTCTGTACTTTGTCGAATCCCTGCCGTCGTCTTTTCAAAAGGCTTGTGCCTTCACGAGGAAAGAGCAAACCTTGCCAATTTCAAAGAGAAAAGGGCAAAAATTCAGACAGTACAAAGAGCGGTGAGAGTGGGGCACATGGGTGTTCACAGTTGAGGCAGTTTATCCACTGGTGTGTCAAACTTGAAGTCTGGAGGAAAGAGATTGGCAGCGCGGGGATAAATGAGACGGTAGGACTGACGGATTGTGACGTCTGCCACTCCAGTAATGTCCCCAATCTCTGCACAATAAATAAATTCCATTAATCAAGGACACTAACATATCACCTTTTGTATGTGATTATCACAAAGACTGGATTACATATTTGAAGACTTCAAATGCAAAAGCCACTAAGTGCCGTCTGAAAGTTTCCTCTAAAATGAGCATTTTTATCAGACTCCTATGGTTGGGTTCAGTCATTTTTTGGCAATGAATAGGTCCTTTTTGTTGACATTAAAGGTGGGGTATGTATTTTTTCAAAAACGCTTTAGAAAACGGAGTCGGTCCGAGTACCAAAACAAACTTGTAGGTGTCGCGCCGCATCCAGTGTAGACCATAGATAAATATATATATCTATGGTGTAGTCAGCATCACTGATTATAATGAGTTAACATTGGCTACCAGAAATCCCTTAACCCACCTTTAAAATGAAATAACAAACATAGGAGCCTGATAAAAGTGCTTTTGCATTTGAAGTAGGGCTGTGCGATTTGGGGGAAAATATCAAATTGCGATTTTTTTGACAGATATTGCGATTGCGATTTAATTTGCGATTTTAAATTTGCAAAGTCAAGCTTCAGCTCAATATTGTCAATAATGTGCAGCACAGTATGGGTATCATTACCCTGCTGAAAAAAAAACAATAGAAACTATCACATAAATTCTTATAGTTTCCATTAAACCATTACAAAATTCCTTTTTGTTTTTTCGATTAATCGCACAGCCCTAATTTGAAGTCTTCATTTGTTTTCACTTACCCTTCTGTGTCTTCTTCTCAGCAGACGCTTGAGAGGCCATGTATATGGCTGCAGCTGCCACTGAGATCGGACTGCGCCCTGGAACCAAGTCTAGTTCAACGGCCTTCCTGGCAATGTAAGTGGCCGCCATCTGCACCTGTTTGGGCAAGCCCAAGTTGGAGCAGAAACGTGACATGAAGTCGCTGGTTGTAATAAGGTCCACGCTCGTCTTAAGAGCCTTCAGGAGAAGCTTGAAGCAACGGCCAATCTCCTTCTTCGAGATCCGAGACACGGCACAGATTTCTGGGGTGGAGGGAGATAGAAATGATTACAAACTTGTATATCAAAACCTGCTGGAATATTGATAGCTAAATATCTTCAGTTATAGAGTTATCTAGCATAATGCTAAAGGTGAAGTGTGTCATTTCTGCATCAGTAGCATCACCAACTGCAGTTATGGCCCTTTTCCACTGCATGGTATGACTCGGCTCAGCACGGCTCGGTTTGCGTTTCCACTGCAGTTTAGTATCGCTTTAGAGTGGGCGGGATTATTCACATGTCGTTTATAGTTGCGCCGCCTCTATTGCCGCGACTCCTGAAAAACTTTTTCCATTCCGCATCGCCCCATCAAGCTCGCTGGATCCGCTCCTCTGCTATCAACGAGAGGAACGTCTGTACTTCCTCAACAGACAATGAAACAGACACTTTTTGGTTGTTAAAAAAGGTGCGCTCGTTTAAAACAGTTGCGTTCGATGCTTCGCTGGCTGTGCTGATTTAAATCTAGCGGTTCTGTTGTGTTTGTGTCGCAAGTTCTGTGACGCAGGTAGTGATGATTCTCTCCAGCCAATCCGTGATCAGCAGAGTTTACACGTCACGTTTTGGTAACGATACGGTTAGCTTGGAACCTCAACCGAGGTGGTACTAAAAAAAGTACCAGGTACCAGTTACTGTACCCAGTGGAAAACCCCCCAAAAGTGAACCGTACCGAGCCGTACCATGCAGTGGAAAAGCGCCATTATAAAACTAAGAGGTTTTCCAGAACACTCCCTTTGCCTTCCATTGGTCGCTCAAACAAATAAGCTCAAGCTACTGAGGGCAAAAGTGCCCATCCACTTTTTCAGCAGCCTTTGTTCTGGAAGTATTTTTCCCATAGGGATTTTAGAAAAGTCTTTTAAGAGTTATAAACCATGAACCAACCAGCTATGAGATGATTTACAATATTACAAACTTTGATACCATCGATTAACAATCTCACAGCAAGTCTGTTTTTAAGTTATTGTTAAAAATCAATTCCTCCAACCAATTATGGAGAAAATTAGCAGGATTCCAGAACCCGACTGTTGCACACTATAAGTTGAGCTAATGTTGATGGCAGACACAATAAATTCAGTACAATAATGTCTATCAATCAACAACATCATAAAAAAGAATATGCAGTTTCAACCTTTAAATGTTCTAGGGACGCCCTCCTGTCTGCAAGCTATGTAAAGGCAGGCCGAAGCGATCGCATCATTACTTCTGCCTTTCAGACTCTTTTGTTCGTAAACCTGTTTGAACAAGTTGTTTGTTTGGTCCTGTAACAGAGAAAGAGAGATTTACTGAGAGGATGGAGGAATATGCTTGCCAAGTGAGGTTGGAAATATTGGTCAATGGATGACCAAGGGCAGTCGTATTTAGAAATGTGAAACTCTGAATTCTAGATGATACACGTGTTGCTGAGTTGTGACATCGGAAGGTAGTCGATGTGAAACATGACAGAAACCCTGATCTATAATAGATAAAATCAAATTTCTGAAATCTATATATAGAGATCAGTGAGCAGAAACCATCTGTAGTGAATGGAAATGAATGATTTTGCAAATTATTTTAAATTTGCATGCTGTATTTCAATCATGTTCACTCATCAAATGGTTTGATGTATGAAGAAGCTAACAGAAAAGTGTAAAGTTAATAACTCATGGTCTTCTTTATGAAAACTAAATATTTTTGTTCATGCATAAAGTATGTGATTGAAATGAATCATTTTCATAATTCAGTAGTAGTTATTTGGCTTAACTGTTCACAATATAATTTTCTGGTTTTGTTTAGGCTACCTCCGTCATCTTTCCAACCTGAATGTGTGACGATATACACAATGCCCAACTTCCCAGGTGCACTTGAAGGCAGCATAATTACATTGCATTATTACGTTACCATCTAATTCAATAACAGTAGGCTGAGACACTCACAATGATGTTTCTGGGGAGGTTGATCCTGTCGGCCATGGTGCTGATCTCTTTGAAGGCATTCAACATGGCTCGATCAGAGCTGCTCATGGTTCTCCGATTCTGGTACTTGGAATTTCCAAACTCATCAAAGCTTGCTGCACCTGTTCCCTGAAATATCATATGGGAAATATATAAAAAAAAATAAAATAAAAAAAAAATCATGATGAGGACATACAATTGTGCTCCAAACCTTCCAAATGCAAAGTCATTAAATAGGCAGACAAGTTCCTTACTTTGCTGATCATGGTGGTGAGGTCTCCTCCATTGAGGAGAGGATTCTGAGCGTCACCAACACGAGACGGGTCTTTAGTTGCTTTCTCATTAGTGAACGTTCTCCACTCTGACCCTACATCAATTACACGGTCACCTGAGAATGAAAGGAACCACAAGCTTATTGTCTTATTAAGCTAGTGATGAAAAATGTCCACTTAAAGGATGTTCACTTTCAGAATAAAAATTTCCTGATAATTTACTCACCCCCATGTCATCCAAGATGTTCATGTCTTTCTGTCTTCAGTCGAAAAGAAATTAAAGGGGCCATATGACGTTGCTAAAAATGAACATTATTTTGTGTATTTGGTGTAATGAAATGCGTTTATGCAGTTTAAGGTCAAAAAACACATTACTGTTTCTCCTCTATGCCCCCCCTTTCTGAAACTCGTCTATTTTTACAAAGCTCATCGGTCTGAAAAGCGAGGTGTGCTCTGATTGGCCAGCTATCCAGTGTGTTGTGATTGGCTGAATAACTCAAGCGTATGACGGAAATGTTACGCCCCTTACCATACTGTGATGCCGTGTCCCGGTGCAATGAGACAAAACCAATAAAACCCATTATAAACGAGGCATTTGTTGCATCCAGTGGGGACATAATTACTGATTATAATGACTTATACAGTCTTTTTACACATTGTGTTGCATATCACGCCGTGTAAACATAAAACCATGTCTGCATTTGTGATCGGAGAAATGACAAACAACAATCGCTACTCTACACTGCTTAAAACGTGCGTTTGAATCATCAGTGGCAAATTCTTTAAATATGTAAACATACTTACAGGCTGTGAGTCAGAACAGATGGCATTGTAGTCTACTCTCCCAGGTTCAGGAAACAGTCCTCCGTAAAATGTGCTGCACACATCTGAATATTTGGGTTGAACTGTTCTGGAACAGTGTTGTAAATACAACTTAACCACTGATTTCTAGTCGTGTCCTCTTTTGGAAAATCAAACAAAGTATTTTCGCTTACACAACGAAACACACAGAGTCTCCCCGACATGGCGGCGGCGGCGGCAACAACAATTCTACAGCGAAAATAAAGTTACGCCTTCTTTCTTTGCGTGAACAGTTGGGCGGTGTTATGCAAATCTTCCCACACAGTGACGTAGACATGTGGGGGCGTGTTTAAATGAGGTGTTTTAGTAGGGGGGCGTGGACGAGTCTTAACTTTTAAATAGAATATCTCTTTGGGTTTGAGACTTTAGTCTTTGCAACTTTACAGATCTTTTTTTTATGCACCAAGAGCTTGTAACACTCCAAAGAGAAAGGAAAACTTGAAATCGAAATCCAGGAATAAGGGTCTTATCTATCAAAACGATTGATAATTTTCTTAAAAAAATACGAATTTATATACTTTTTAACCACAAATGCACATCTTACACTAGCTCCGTGATGCGCGTCCACAAATTCACACATTACGTAATCACGTTGGAAAGGTCACGTGCAGTTAAATCTTCGTCTGTGTACTCCGGGTCAAAAAGGTAGGGTAGGACGAAAAACTCCATCTCATTTTCTCCTCCAATTTCAAAATCGTCTAGACATCGTTGTTTTACCTTTTTTTGTTAAGGGCATTTGACTTTCTTTGCACATTCACTTTTCACACGTGACCTTTCCAATGTGATTACGTAACGCATGAAGAAGAGCTAGTGCAGGACGAGCATTTGTGGTTAAAAAGTATAAAAATTTGTATTTTTTAAAGATAGATCTTTTTCGCTAGATAAGACCCTTATTCCTCAGCTGGGATCGTGTAGAGCCCCTTTGAAGCTGCATTGAAACTGCAATTTGGACCTTCAGCCGTTGGCCACAATTGAAGTCCATTATATGGAGAAAAATCCTGGAATGTTCTCCTCAAAAACCGAAATTTCTTTGCGACTGAAGAAAGACATTAACATCTTGGATGACATGGGGGTGAGTAAATTATTAGGAAATTTTTATTCTGGAAGTGAGCTAATCCTTTAAAGCTCTAATATTCAGAAGCATACCTACTACAAGGCCACATTCAGGACAGATCATGTCTCCTGCCCTGTAGTCCTCCACCAGTATTGCATCGGGGTGATTGGGGCATTGCACCTTGGGAAGAGAGGCTCCACTAAAACAGACAAAATTCCAGAGGTCAGGAAAAATCCACATGAACTCTTGAACTCTACTGACATTAGAAAACAACTGTTTGTCTGTGGATTAGGATACAGTAAACACTACAAGAAGATGGCAAACAAACCAGCACAGACATTCATATAAAGCAGGGGCATATTCGTTTTTTTTTTTTTATTGGATACAGATTAATTAGAGATCTATTTTCATCATTTTTCCTTTTCTTCATTTTTCACATCAACTTTCAGTGTCCCTTCCTGACCCCTAATGTATTGTTATTAAGTTATCCATTATTTTGAATATGCCATATGCTCAGCTAAGGGTTTGTTATGCATCATTTTATAAATGTGTGCAACATATATATATATATATATATATATATATATACACAATCATAAGCTTCAATTTGCATCACTTTTCAATTATGATGAATCCGTTCCTAAAAAAATAGAATACTGAAGAATCTGCCTTTGCCCTGATCCTTTCAGCAGCTACACAATCAAAATAACATGTCATAATACAGAATAGGTTCATTATTAACAGTGGACTGAAGGGTGGCTTGGACTGTTACAGCAAGATGACTGCTACTAAACACTGATGTTACAGTCACAACAATGCAGACATGAGTCAGGATAAATAAAGAAGATATTTATTAGATAAATAATCAATGGGAATCACTTCCTGAGAGTTTTGAAGTGCCCATCTGGATAGTGATGTGCGTGCAGTTATCTCTGTGATGACTATGCTCTTTGGTTTGGTTTTGACAGGCATCTCAACCTTCCACGCACTTGAAACAACTCATCTGACTGCTTGTATTTTAAAATTATTAGCAGCAATGAGCTCTCATTTTGTCTTATTTCATAAGATGCGAACGGACAGCCGGCATGCGCTAGCAGAAAATGACAGTGTATTCATTATCCAAGATCTCCTTTATACGCACGACAACAAACTACGACTAAACGCCTATGGAGGACCACACTGGACAGATTCAAAGGTCATCTATGCCGTGCGTTTACAGATCAAGATCAGAGACACAAAACCAGCAGAAATGTAACTAACCGGCTCGTCGACGCCATACTATTACCGTCTGTTGTCCACTGCAGTGACTCTCTGCTGAATACAATGGACGCCCGCTACCCATATTTATAGGTTTTCTAGGTCACGTGTACAGGAGACGGACAGCCACACGGACCAAATTTACTAATTAATGATTCGACAAACTCATTCATGTTCAACACATGCGAAGATAGGTTTCTTGCGTTTAAATACATGCCGTTTTTTTTTTCTCTCGCCACATTTCAAATGTTCAATTTGTTATATTTTTCACATGATGTAGTCTCTTTATCTGACATTCCAGGAATTAAGGTGTTTTGTTCATGCCTGTTTTCACATTTGATTTGCTATGTTCTTTATAATAAAATTATTTCTATTAAAAGAAGGTTTGATAGAAGTTGTAACAGCCCAACTTAGATGTTAGAGCCAGTCCTAGCACAATATGCATCTAATTGTGTAGTTTTTTTTTAGCTCAAATTTGATTATAAACAGTAGGCTACTGAATAAATGGCTGGTATGAAACATACTGCAGGTGCAGTATTGCACGTGGTTTTAATTTGACTACAATGGAAAATGCACGTGATTTGCAGTCTCATTTTAAAAATATTTGTCACTATTTGTTCTTTTTAATTCCACTGTTTACTGATAAGGATTTCAAAGTTCCAACAATCATGCTCTGTTTGAAAATTATATACCATTCCTAAATTCTTTAATCAGTTGTGCTTAATAATGCAGATATATCATACAAAGTTATTATTAGTTTCATTCCACTTGTAGTGCCCTCAAAAACCAAGGGTTGGGCCTTTTTATAATCATGCTGAGAACACTCATATCTCTCTTAAGGGATCACCTATCCCCTTCTAATGAAACTCAAGAGCAATAAAGGCGCAAATGCACTGATAAACAGGTCATGACATCTTATCTATTTTTATGGCAGCTGCATGTGTAAAATAAAGTGTGTTGAACTTGCATAAACTGTAGAAATGCGTAGATCATTTGGGCTTCTGTAATTTAGGGAAATAATAAGTATAAGTAGCCTAAGCATGCCATAAACTATATCATGATTATTATTTTTTTTATGAATAATTAAAAGCATTCAAATACTGATGGGAAAAAATAAATGACAGAATAAGAAGAAAAATACACGTGTTTATGATTCAGTCAGACAGCAAAGGAAAATCTATGTTCCTCTCACAAACTAGCTGAAACTTGAAAAAAACATTTGGGGTGGGTTGGTTTTAGTTACCAAAATATTTCCTGCGCACTGTGCCAGCCAAACATTGCTCCACCATTTAAGCATCTGGGTCCTAGTTTCCGCATAATAAAAGGAAGAGGAAAAGAAAGTAGAAGAAAGAGTGCACAGGGTTAGTCTTACATTAAATAGTTATGACTGTCAGAACTGTAATACCTCATAGACTCCACCTTTAATAAAAAAAAAAAAAATAATCTAAAACACTGCTTTGTGTACAATGCGCGTCTGCAGCTCTAAACGACTTTTTGGTGATAATTCACCTTTATCCAGTGCGTTCATAAACGCTACGCTGTCAGCGTCCAATGAAATGCGCAGTTGACGAACGGAACAGCTCCGTCATCTTGACTGCTGAACTACAAGTCGTAGCAGGTCGGACAAAGAGTCGCATATTTTAAACCTCTCGCCGGACTCAGACTTCTCTGGACAGCGTGTACAGTGCTTGACGGACACTACATTGCTATGCTGAAAGAAGATTGTTTGGTAGCGTTTAGGTATTTGACTTTTGTAGTCCATTTCCTGCTCAACGACAACTTTTGACAAATCTAGCGTCTTAAGCAAGATGACAATCAAAATAACGAGACCGCGCACTCTTCCATCCCAGTGAAAAACGGCATAGAGACAGTAAGTGAACCGTTTTACTGTTTTTATCTGGGTCTTAGGGACTTATTTCTTCATACTACATAGAAATACATTATTCCCTGGGGTTGCAGGTTATGTGAGTTCAGCAGTTTAGCGTTTCAGACTGCATTATACGAATGAGAATATTTCTATTTTAAGACAATGTTTCATTAGCCTGGTGATATCCATTTCAGAACAACCTATAAACGTTTGTAATTTAAATTTACAGGTTTATTTATTATTATTTTTATTATTATATAAATGTACTAAATGTGTGTGCATTTCCATTCTGAAATGATTTTAAAAAGTTTACTGATAATAATTTCAGTGCAATTTTATAGTATACAGTTTTATCCATTTGACCTTGTGTGTCTTGACACGACAAGGTATTTCTTAAGACAATTTATTACTGACATACGGTACATTAAAACAGTTTTCTGTATTTTTACGATCGCCCCCTACTGACAAATATAACAAAATGTGAATTGTAGTGATGGAGGACGCTTAAACTTGTCCTGGAAAGTTCACTATATATAAAAGTCAAAGTAAAGACACATAAAATACTATTTGTGTGGAATGACACAGCTGTGCAATCACCTCAAAGTTAGAATTGTGGGATACTTAGCTTATATATTTCTTAATTCCCATAAATGGTTAACAAAGACAACTCTAATGATTAACAGCTGCCATGTGTTTCCAGAATCTATTTCTCACGCACCACTTTGAGAAACTAGCAGGCATCAAATAAAGCAGTGCTCGAACTGTGCGCATGCCACTGGGAATTTAAAAACAGAATTGGGCTATTTATACGACATTGGCAGCCAAAAATGTTTTAACCTAGAATCAGGAATCGTATCTGAAGTGAATGGACATGTGTTTCTCATGCCACACGAACATGTAAGTCATCACAGTGAAGTGCCATTTCAAACATGACACACTCTTGACATGTTTAGGACCTTTCATGTTGTAACTTGAAGCCACATGTGGCTAGCAGACATTTGTCAAGTCATGCAGTCAGTACATGCACTCTGTGTGGTTTAACTCACTCACTTATGTAGGCCTATACATTTGTACTGTAAGTCACTTTCAGTAAAAGAACCTGACAAAATGTAAATCTACTCGATCAAATATAGTATTTGTTTATTTTATCTTGGAATAAACACCTAAGACTTTCAAATGTGTACAACAATAACATCTCTAAATGTTGATTACATGTAATAGACTTATGTACAATTACTCACATGTAATTAATTCTGTTCAAATATGCACTGGTTTCATATGCACTGACTGCACTACTCTTTATTACAGGGATGTTTAGTCTAACTGAAGTTGCCTCCCTTAATGACATCCAGCCGAACTACCGTATTCTGAAACCATGGTGGGACGTGTTCATGGATTATATTGGGGTAATAATGTTGATGTTAGCCATATTTTCGGGGACTATGCAATTGTCCAAAGACCAAGTGGCATGTCTTCCCATTCTTGAGGAAAGCACAAACCCTGAGGCAGCACAAAACCGACTAGAAGGTTCCACATCAGTTCTGGGCACTGCACCCTCAACAACCAGAGACCTTCCTGACAGCGTTGCACACGGACTTCTTAACACTCAACCTACCCCCTTAAAAGCAGAAGATATGTGGTCTCAAACTCAACCCAGAGGACGAAAAACAAATCTGGACTATCAGCAGTATGTTTTTGTCAACCAAATGTGCTACCATGAGGCCCTACCATGGTACAACAAATACTTCCCTTACCTTGCTCTCATACACACCATAATGCTGATGGTAAGCAGCAATTTTTGGTTCAAGTACCCAAAGACCAGCTCAAAGATTGAACACTTTGTTTCCATTTTGGGGCGGTGCTTTGAATCACCATGGACAACGAAAGCTTTGTCTGAAACCGCTTGTGAAGATTCTGAGGAAAAGCAGAGGTTCACAGGCGGTGTGGTTTTCCAGAAACACGTATCCTCGGAGGAAAGCAGTCAGTCTACACCTTTGATGGAAACTCCAACAGTGCAGTTTCCAACCGAAAAGCTTATTGCAGAAGCTCCTAGCCTGACCACTTTAGACAAAAAAGATGGAGAACAAGCCAAGGCTCTTTTTGAGAAAGTGCGAAAATTTCGAGTCCATGTAGAAGACAGTGACTTCATCTATAAACTCTACGTGGCTCAGACGGCGATAAAAGCACTAAAGATCATTTTGATCTTGAGCTATACATCAACATTTGCCTCGAAGATCAGTTTCTGCCATATATGCCAACCTGAAACTGAAAGTTTGACCGGGTATGATCGGTTCTTTTGCACGCACAACATGGCATTCATGTTGAGGAAACTTGTTTTCACTTTCATGGCTATGATATGTCTCTATGGACTGGTGTGTTTGTATACGCTCTACTGGCTCTTCAGGAGACCTCTTAAGGAGTACTCTTTTGAAAAAGTCAGAGAGGAAAGTAGCTTTAGTGATATTCCTGATGTCAAAAATGACTTTGCGTTTCTTCTACACATGGTCGACCAATACGACCAGTTGTACTCCAAACGATTCGGCGTATTTCTATCTGAGGTTAGTGAGAACAAACTACGAGAAATAAGCCTTAACCACGAGTGGACGTTTGAAAAAATACGTCAGCATGTGACATCCAATGCTCAAGATGAACAAGAACTTCACCTCTTTATGCTGTCGGGACTCCCTAATGCTGTATTTGACCTCACCGATCTGGAAGTCCTCAAGTTAGAGCTTATTCCTGAGGTCAGGATTTCAGCCAAAGTTTCTCAGATGACCAACCTACGGGAACTACATCTGTATCACTGCCCCGCTAAAGTCGAACAAACTGCTTTCACTTTTCTCCGCGACCATCTGCGATGCCTTCACATTAAGTTTACTGATGTTGCAGAAATCCCACCATGGATTTATCTGTTGAGGAGCCTCAAGGAACTGAACCTGATTGGGAGCTTGAACTCTGAACACAACAAGATGATAGGTTTGGAGTCACTGAGAGATCTGAGACACTTGAGGACATTGTACCTCAAAAGCAATCTCAACAAAATACCTACTAATCTAACAGAACTCTCGCCTCATCTCACCAGACTGGTGATACACAATGATGGGACTAAGTTATTGGTATTGAACAGTCTCAAGAAGATGACCAGCCTGGTTGATTTGGAGCTCCAGAACTGTGATTTGGAGAGGATCCCCCATGCCATATTTA